GAAGAATTTCAATGATCAAATCAGGAAATATTATGGAGTACCAGCTGATGAGGTGAGAATCTTACGTTTATTCCAGGCAGCGCACGTATGTGAAACATTTTCCACTCGTTCACGAACTTAAAAGCAGAGGTTACGATGAAAAGGCAGCGCATTATAATGATGTAGAGGTGATCGTTGATGTAGGAATAAAGAAAAATAGAGGGAGTGGATCCAATTGAGGGGGGGGGGGCAGTCACTTCAAGCGTGAAAAGCTATGCTGCTCCTTCATGATGAAAAGTGTTTTGAAGAAGGTGACTGTGCCAAGAAATGGTGGACGTTTGCTCGCAATGCTTCCGGCGAGGTGAAAGTACTGGAGAATAGAAAAGAGTATGATATTTCTATCCTGAAATATTAAACGAATCATGAAAAAAAAACGCACGGCTCAGGAAGGATTGGAAGAATCGCCGAATCATTTTAATTTCCTGGAGAATTTCTTTGACTCATATTTAGTCTTTTTCGTTGAATGAGGGTGTTCTCAATAGTACATGATTGATAATTTCGTTACAGTGCATGCAATTGAATTTATTCACAGTAAACATACTATCTAGTGATCGTTTTTATAAGTTTATTTTCGCTGCAGTTGTCAAAGGATGTATGCCAAAAGCTCAGAGCGCGACGTCGCGCTAACGGGTGGTTCATAGGACAGAAAGCGACCTTTCGCGTTTCGCAGCGCGAAACATTTTTCGCTGCGGAACCTCGGATCCACTGATTTTTCGCTGCGAGAACCTCGGGTTCACTGATGATCAGAGGTGGACCTGAGGTTCCCGCAGCAGAAAATGTTTCGCGCTGCGGAGGGCGAAAAATTCGCATTCTGTCCTAGTGAAGCCACACTTGACCTACCACGCGTCGTGGCACCAACTACGTCAATATGATTAGTTCTCTTAGAGGGAGATAGAGAACTCCACGACGACGTGAATGCATGCGTGCTGGTGACATTCACAGTGACGCCACAGTTGAGGAACCAGAGACACAGTGCTAGCTAGCTGCGCTTTTCTGCTGAAATAATTGAGTGGTCTCACATTTGTAGCATCATCCTCAATTCAGAGGGCATCGTGCCACCCGTGTGCATCCTTGCGGTAAGTAGTCGATTGAGTGATGTACAAATACCACGTTCGCGCCAGCAAATGCAAATTTTGTTTTGAAAATGTGGAGGGAATCAACTCTTTCATGTGTGAACCATGTGGACTGCGCAACTAACCAGGGAAGTGTCCCAGCTTTCCATGAAACTTTAATAGGCCTAGGTAAATCGTTAGAGGCTGGGATGATGACTACGAATGTGAGACCATAACTGCTACGTCAAAGAAATTGTTAGCGGTCAAAGTGGTCCCAAGTTCGATTCCTTGTCGTGAAGAAATTCTGCATTCCAAGTTGGCTCTTCTAGAATTCTGCCAAATAGTGCCTGTGCCGAGAATAATTTCATCTTCAAGATTAGGATCATAAGAATCCCTCGCAAGTAGGCTTTCATCAAATATAATCAGACCAACACCAACCTTGATCGGCCACTATTTCCGCGACAAGTTCGCGTAGCGGTTTTGCTTTTCATATTTGTAACTGATTTTATAGGCTCCATTGACTTACCTAGGTCCCAATTCAAGCTGGAACACTTCTCTGGTAAGCAATCACAGTAAGTTTCACTATCGTTCATCGATTTCCATCCCTACTTACTGCTTATTTCACGGTGTAGTTGAGGTAGTACATCACTTGATACATTAAAATTTTCGCGACACCGCTGTCCCTTGCCAGATCCCGCGCCGCAGCTGTGACATCGCAGCGACATCACCAACAGCGCTCGCGCACACGTCGCAGTTGAGTTTTCCGTGGGACCATACTTCTCAGCGACACTCCTACAAAGTCGATGTTTCGCTGCAGGATGCGTTATTTGTTGCGTATTATACTCAGAACACACTCCATCGAGTCAGGCAAGTGTCAGACTTTGCGATCACCGCACAATTCTCGCCAATCACCAGCGGTTCGTGCAACTTTTAGTGTTTGTTTTCTCTGAGTAGTCTGTACATATAATCTTTAGCTCCTTTGGGACACTAATAACTGGTCCCTCAGGAACAACGAACACTGAGAGTCGCTCGAGTCGTTTGAATCGCTAGATTATCGTAAGACGGTTGCAAAGTCTTACACTTACCTTAGGCGCGAATCTGCACTCTGATCTGTTGGTTATCTAATCATAGTTCAGGGAAAAGCGTATGTTATGTCTATTCATGAAGTACTTCGAACTTGAACATTTGATGTGGAGAATGTCAACACTTGGCGGTGCTTGTTCAGCGATGGCTGACTATGATCTCTCTTTTGTGAGTTTATTTTTCTGAGATGTTTCCACTTAATTCCACTGCTTGTTAATGGGTGTAGGTAGAGTGTCATTCATGGAAGGGGCGCCGATGATGTATTTGACTAAAAAGCTTAATGCAGTTGACATTGATCGATCTCCCTCTAAAACACACCCTCATTTCTTCGGAGATGAGAAGCTAATGTAGCTTGGGCGCATTTCGATCTGAGACCTCATCTCGAGGCTATGCCCATGGGAGTTGACGCTGGTTGGTCCTATACGACCTTCGCCTGTTTAGGCCCCTATGAAACTACAATTGCTTTATTGCTTGAATTTAAGGCTAAACGAGCTGGCTCGATCTCTGAGAAGCAAATGCAAATCGCGGCCGAACTGGATGATCAAACTTTGTTGTCACGCTGTCATCTATATATAGCTCTGAGTGAAGCTCAGCAAGCTAATTTTGCTCGTGCTAGGAAAATCGTGAGGTGATTTACACTTATGATTCGTGTTGTAATGTGTTGTCTGGTATTGCCTACCGATGAAATCGGAGCGTTGTGCTTGGTTAGCTCTGCCCTCAAACCGGAGACTTGAAGCATGCTTGACTTGGGGAGGCGACAGTCTAGTTGGAAGTCGAGCCGTTTTTCGCTTGCGGCCATGTGGCCGAGCTGTCCATAAAACAGCCTTACTTCCTTCGTTTTTCCATCATATCTAGGATAGCATGAGATCAATTGCCACGTGTTTGCTGGGTTTTGTCTTCGTTGTTCGCTGCGTTGAGCATACAGTAAAGAACTGGTCAGCATATTCGCGTATTCTAGATGTTCATGCGTGTTCGTTCATCTCGTATGTATTGGGTGTGGTTCACTAGGACAGAAAGCGACTTTTTCGCGTTTCGCAGCGCGAAACATTTTTCGCTGCGGGAACTAGGTCCATGATCAGCGGTGGACCTGAGGTTCCCGCAGCGAAAAATGTTTCGCGCTGCGAAACGCGAAAAAGTCGCTTTCTGTCCTAGTGAACCACACCTGTATGTATTTGATTGAATGGATAACTTACGACCGCTAGATGTTTTGCTTTGATTGTTCCAATGAATACGTAATGTAGATCAGGGTTAATTTATTTAACGGCTCACCAAGGTCTTTCTAGCATTATTTCGCCAACGAGTCCCACTTTTTGAGAAGGCAATGTGACTGTGAAACAACACTGCTTTTGTACATAGCTTTTACAGAGTACGGAGTACTGCATCAAAGAATTCTCGTTGTTCTTCTATTGCAGACACCTGTTTTAGCGGTTTCAGTTTTAGTGTAATATACGCATGGTCACGATGGACAAAGAACGAATTCGTTGAACATTGCTGTCGAGGTGTGCTGGCAAAAATTAAATCGATCGAACGATTTGGAACCAAAGCTCTTCGAGAAGACTCACATGCATTGCGATCGGTACGGGAATAAACTTTTTTTCTCGGTGAGCGGGAGTATTGTAGTAATGTTTCTGATGGATGAATGAACATAAGCCATAGGCCACTTGTGCATGTTCCGTGACTCATTGTCACTCATTGCACAGGGTAAATCAAGTGCTCCACCTTGCCGAGGTCGAATAATTCCTGGCTTATTCGTTGGGTAGGGAAGGACAAAGCGTTTCCACGTGTACAGGGTGGCTTGCGCTGTATATATATGAGTATAACTTGTTTTTGATGGCGTCTTGTAGAATTTAAAGACAGTGAACACGATGGCTGGAGGGCGTACGGTGAACGGTTGAGTGTGGTTGGTGGAAGTGCGTTGGGATTCACAGCGCACTGAGTGCCACGGTCCACCAATGACGTCCAGTACCATCATAAAACCGACTGTTTCTCGGAAACAATTAGTCCGCGTCGTTGTTGCATTGGGCTTAAGCCGTTGCATTGCCATGCAGGATGTTACAGTGGAGTAGATTAATTCGGTCGACGTTTCGAACAATTGGTCGTTTTCAGGACCTGAGGTTGGTTCGTAGTTTTTAGCTTCCAATTAATTAATTGTTGGAATCTTTCTCTATTTGTATTTTGAGAAATATAACGGGGCTTTGACCGGATTAATTGCAATCTAAGAACTACGAACCAACTTCAGGTCCTGAAGACGGCGAATTGTTCGAAACGTCGACCGAATAATCTATTATATTTCACCTTAAAGCAACAATCCAGGAACGAATTCGCGGGTAAGGACCACCTATAATGACGTTGCAGGTGAGAAGTTGGTCAATGGAGAAAGAAAAAGTAGAAAAAAACGTCGGGCAGGGGCTTAGACAGGGACTCCCCCCTGCCGTTTAGGGAGACGTGTGTTGGAC